GCAAACACCATCAGTCAAAAAAGTATCCAAATCAAGTTCAGCTGTTGCAAATGTGACAGCTTCCAAGCAGAAAGGAAAGCTGCAAACAGCAACATCCAAAAAAGTATCCAAGACAAATTTAAGTATTTCGGGTACAACAGTTTCTAAGCAGAAAGGAAAACAACAAACACCATTATCCAAGAAAGTATCCAAATCCAGTTTAAGTGTAACAGCTTCCAAACAAAAAGGAAAACAAACACCATCACCCAAAAAAGTATCCAAACCAAGTCCAAGAGTTTCGGGCAATGTCACAAGTGTAATAGCCTCCAAGCAGAAAGGTCAGCAGTCACCTTCTCCTAAGAAAGGAGTAAACAGATCAACTCCCACTACTGTTCTCCCAAGTAAACAACCAAAAGTAGGTACTACAGTGTTTAACTATAAAATATGTTTTATATTTATGTACTCTGTAGTTGCACTTGTCTAAAGTTTCTAAGAGACAGTATTTCTAAAAGGTTTTATTTATTTTTCATCTCCTCTACTATTTTCTATAAATCTATTCATCTGGTTTTATTCAGTACATAAAGTTTGAAAAATTGTCCTCAAAGTAGGTTCCTTATCAAATTATCCAGTCTGTGTCCATTGTGTTTTAAATTAAGTTGAAATTATGGGTTTTCTAAAAATTATCCACATTCAGAAGTTAAAGAATAGGACGGCCTCATTTGACAGAGTTAACAAACCACTTTTGATTGTTACGTGTAGCTACGTATAGAGATCAAAGTGAATAGGACGGCCTCATTTGACAGAGTTAACAAACCACTTTTTGATTGTTACGTGTAGCTACGTATAGAGATCAAAGTGAATAGGATGGCCTCATTTGACAGAGTTAACAAACCACTTTTGATTGTTACGTGTAGCTACGTATAGAGATCAAAGTGAATAGGATGGCCTCATTTGACAGAGTTAACAAACCACTTTTGATTGTTACTTGTAGCTACATATAGAGATCAAAGTGAATAGGACGGCCTCATTTGACAGAGTTAACAAACCACTTTTGATTGTTACTTGTAGCTACGTATAGAGATCAAAGTGAATAGGATGGCTTCATTTGACAGAGTTAACAAACCACTTTAGATTGTTACGTGTAGCTACGTATAGAGATCAAAGTGAATAGGATGGCTTCATTTGACAGAGTTAACAAACCACTTT